CCGATGACGTCTCCTCTGTGGTGCCGATTTGTTTGATTTTGTGGGTGTTCATAGTGTTCACCAGCGAATCAAACGGAAATTGAGCCCAAGGATGGAAGAATACGACACAAGCTTCTATTAAGGTAAAGACATAGATGAAGAATGTTAGGTATTTCGATTTTAGGTTCCTTTTGATCCAATTAGGGTTTGTAAATTGTTTTAATTTTCTTTGGTTCTGTTAATTTGTTAGGGTTTTGTTCTTTTTGTTATTGTTTGCATGATGTTTACTGTGTATATTTTGTGGCTTATTCATTTTGGGTAAAAGAGGGTTTCATTGATTTGTTTTTCATTGTTGTGGATTTTTAGAGGCCTATATTATACATATTTGATTGTGCTTTGTTGAAATTCCTAACCTATGTTGGGATTTGTTTTGGGCAACAAAATTTATCTTTAATTGTTATTCTATTAAGTGTTCTCCTTTCTTGGGTTTTTTTTTAAAATTTTTTTTTAAAATTTTTGTAATAATTTTTATTTATTCCACTCTTAGGTTAAATGATGTTGAGTTTTGGGTATGGAAAAACTGTGCAACTTGTAGCCTTGGCCAATGGTTTTCTTTGCCTCATCAGGTGTCTTTTGTGAAATGGGTTTGCAAAAAGTTGCCATACTTTTTTTTAAAAAAAATTTATTACTAATTTTATTCCTTTGATTAAATTGAAAAATATATCATCTGTGTGAAAAGTTCAATAAACCTCAACAATTCCTTAAGATCACTTTGTTTTGTAGTTAATTGTAGTCCAATAATTAAGTTGTAAACCGGATGACTTTATTGGTTGGTTGGTTCTAACCTTATAGGCCCCGTTTAGTTGTCTGGATTGGATTTGGATATAATGGGATATAATATGTTTAGGATATGAGATGAATTATGTATATTGTAAGATTATTTTTATTATATCCAAATTTTTTGGATGGGTGGTTTGGTTTGAAATTATGAGATGTTGGGGGGTTCAAAATTGATGACTTTTATAATTTATGTTGATATCTATTAGTTTAGACTACCACTTGAACTTGTTCTAAGAACATTTAAATTTAATAATTTGAAAAAGTTTAAAAATACATAAACTAATCACAGAATTAGATGCAATCCTCTCATATGAGATAAATCATACTTTTTTTTTTCTTTGTGGGTTTACAGTTGTGTGAGAGGATTATATCCAATTTTGTGATTGATTTTTATATTTCTAAAGTAATTGATATAATTTGTCCACACTAATGTCCCACCCCTACCTGCAGCTTGATTTTTGCCTATTGGGATCGTCACATTATTCATAGTCTTTATTTTTGCATATTGGAATGATCACATTATTAATAGTCTTGATCAATTATGATTGATTAAACTAATTGAAGTGAATCAAATATCCTATTTAGTCGGGATCCATTTTTCCAAGAAGGTAAAAAGTTATTTAGTTGGGGATTCAATTTCTCAAGAAAGTGAGCAAAATAGAATATTGGATCCACTTTAATTAAGTTGATCAATCATAATCAATTAAGAAAAAATTTAAATGTATAGGATTTGATTATAGCCTTTGCCTAAATTGTCTTGTCAAAGCCTGAGCTTGAATTTTATCGAAGAGCTCAAAGGGTCGAGTTTGGCATTAATCCTTCTAAATTTTTGATTGAGTTTGGAGATACTACTAACTCAATTGAACAAGTCTCAATTAAAATCAGGTATAATAGATTCATTAATTAGTGACACGCTATTTATGCTCACAACATTATGATTTACCTTAATATGAATTAAGGAAAATAAATGCATTCCCACATGATAAAAGACACGACAAGTTTGTTACATTGACGAGAAATTATTCAATGTTTCGGGAGTAATATTTCATGTCCTTTACTAAATAGTACATTTCAAATTGTCTCTTAAAATTCTAACACAAAAGTTATAAGTTTTATAATTTACACTGATAGCTATTAATTTAGAGTACCACCTAAATATGCTCCTAGAGAACTTAATAATTTGAAAAAGTTTAGGAACACATAAATCGATGATAGAATCTGAAACAACTCTCTCAAATGCCAACAATCCTATGCAAACTGTTTCATATGGATGTTGTGCATATTTTGAGTAGTCTTCTAAATTGACTTGAGGTTTATTGGGATACTTTTGGTTTAAGAATTGTAAAAGAGTTTGCCTTCTTTGGCAATGGTTCCATTTTTTGTTGATTATTCATCTCCTTTAGTGCAATATATTTTGGTTTAAGAATTGTAAAAGTGTTCACCTTCTTTGGCAATGGTTCCATTTGTTTGTGGATTATTCATCTCCTTCAGTGCAATATATTTTCCTCGTTTTACTTTTAATATACCTCATAACTGCCAACTGAAAGTGTATACAACACAACTCAAAATTTGAAAATTAAAAAAAAAAAACACAATAAGTTTAGGAACTCATAAATCGATGATAGAATCTGAAACAACTCTCTCAAATGCCAACAATCCTATGCAAACTGTTTCATATGAATGTTGTGCATATTTTGAGTAGTCTTCTAAATTGACTTGAGGTTTATTGGGATACTTTTGGTTTAAGAATTGTAAAAGAGTTCGCCTTCTTTGGCAATGGTTCCATTTTTTGTTGATTATTCATCTCCTTTAGTGCAATATATTTTGGTTTAAGAATTGTAAAAGTGTTCACCTTCTTTGGCAATGGTTCCATTTGTTTGTGGATTATTCATCTCCTTCAGTGCAATATATTTTCCTCGTTTTACTTTTAATATACCTCATAACTGCCAACTGAAAGATTATACAACACAACTCAAAATTTGAAAATTAAAAAAAAAAAACACAATTGCCTATTCCTTTTATAAGCTGTTGTTAGTCCCAACTTTTTGTTTCTTTTATTGCATCTCCACGGTTCTACTGTTGTTAAATAATTTTTGGGCTTTTTTATTATTATTTTATTTATATATGTTTATATACAAAACAAAGTGTTTGTGAACTATATTTGATAAAGAGATTAAAGACAATGTTAGTTTTGCTTGATTCAATGTCCACCTCCAAAAATTTTGCTTCCTACAATGGTATGAATTTAAGGTTTCATTTATTTGGTTCTATTTTTGCCAAATTTAATTATTTGTTTTTAATTTTAAGGTTTTTCAGGGTTAAATCTACATGGAGGAATTAACTGGGAAGCTAGACACAACAGAACATGGTTTCAGTAGTAAGGGTTTTGTTTTTTTGAAGATTTAAGTAATTTCTTTTTGGTTTTTGACTTTCAATCCACCTGCAGAAATCAGCTGGGTAGCTATGCAAAAAAAATAAAAAATAAGGGCTTTCAAATTATTCCTCTCATTCGATAATTTATTTTTGGCTGCTTTTAAGGTAACATCCATTGCACTTCTTGTTACCCAATTATTCAACTCTGCAAAATCTGTTATATTGCAAGCAAATGAACATATTAATAGGTTCTTAATATTTTCTATAACTAATTTGTTTGTTATTGAATTTCCTTGTATAGATATCAAAAGATGAGATTTTATAATTATGACATAAGTTCTCAAATTCTTGTATAATATTTACAAGTGAACAATTGTGCACCACAAAACTTAGATCAAGAGAATGTCATGCCCATGGGAAATGAGTTTTGGTTTCTCCGAGATCCTCTATTAAAAGTAACATACATTTTATTGAATAAAACTTTTTACCTTTTAAGTACTTTTCGTCCTTACGAGTAAAGCGGGTTGATCAATTAAAATTTTGCTAGGTTTGATAAAGATGTTTGAAACAATTAGTTTTTGTTGCTTCAATATGAACCTCCCGTTTTGGTGGGTATTGTATGTTATTTATCTTTGTGTTTTCTTACCATGTGCACTAATTTTAATTTCTTTGACCTTACTATAAAGGATGTATATCAGAATTGTAAGGTTTATTATATTTTTTTCCCTAAACTGTTAAGGAGGTCAGTGTAATTTACCTTATGTTCTATTTATCTTCAATTTCATGATGCTTTTCTTACATTTTGTTTATGCAGATCTCGTAGTTGTTCATTATATGTGCTATAAGATGCTTTGGTTTGATCTTTTAATGAAGCTAAGTTTAGCTCCATTGCTAGAGGGTGGAGTTTAGCGACCCAAAATAGTGATGTGTATTCTCTGAAACTTCTAGATTTTATTTTTTAATTTTTATGGATTTCTTATGTAGTGAAACTTTTGGGTTTTGTGTGGAGAAAGAATCAATAGCTAAATTTTGTGATTTAGGAATTTCTGTAGTTGTTCTCCCCTTTTATGCCCCACACCTCTTCTCCCCGACTACCTGGATCTCACAAGTGAATCAAAAGTTCGATCTACATTGAATCTTCACTTGAATTGCACCATTGGCTTTCTAATGAATTTTGCATTGCTGTGTGGGTTTTGCTCAATTTTGAAGTACAATAAAAAACTTTTATGGCATTACATAGTTGGTGATGAATGGGTTTTTGCTAAGCTGTTTTTGCGGTTAAATTAAAAATTTGGCATGTGGTGTTTAGTTCTTTTGGGTATTGTGATTGTGGATTCCTATTTGGTTTAGTAATGAATTTTGCAATACTCTTATCATTTTTTAAGAATTGTCAAGTATAATAAAGCCTTCTGTAACATTCTATGATTGGAGATTAATGGGTTCAATTACGCTTTTGTCTTTATGATTAATACGCTTTTGTCGTTATGTGGGTTTTGCTCAATTTTGAAGTACAATAAAAAACTTTTATGGCATTACATAGTTGGTGATTAATGGGTTTTTGCTACGCTGTTTTTACGATTAAATTAAAAATTTGACATGTGGTGTTCAGTTCTTTTGGGTATTGTGTTTGTGGATTCCTATTTGGTTTAGCAATGAATTTTGCAATACTCTTATCATTTTTTAAGACTTGTCAAGCATAATAAAGCTTTCTGTAACATTCTATGATTGGAGATTAATGGGTTCAATTACGCTTTTGTCTTTATGATTAATACGCTTTGTAGTCAGTTGATTGTTTATGAATTTTGTAGGATTGTGCCAGTATTTTGAGAGAATTCAGGATATATTATATGTATATAGATTTATTTCCATCTTTGATGATACTTATCATCCATTTCTCATGGTAATAATGTTCTATTTTAACTCTTCTAAAAGTTGCCAATGTATGGTCAGATAAGGCCAAGTTTGGCATGATTGAAAAAAGACAAAAAGTCAAAAAGTCACTATCCTGTTTAAGTCACATCATCTTATTTAAGTCACATCACCTCTCTAACACATCACTTCAAACCCAACCCAAACCCAACCCATATTTCATAAAAAATCAAAAAGTGCACTTATTTAGTCTTCCCAAACTAGGCCTAAATGTTGCTGCCTTTCATCTATCTATGTATTTCAGACCAAGGTAAAAAATACAATTAATTCCAAGAAGCAATGGGGTTTTGTGTTCACCAAACATGTTTATGATGTTCTATGGAAGGAATTTGTGGTGGTGTTAACAATGCAGGACCTGGACAAGCATTTGGAAAATTCTCATTTATTCATTCAAAGACAATTTTTTTATTAAAAATGTATTGTACCAAACACAAATATTATAAAATATTGATTAATGGGCACTAGCTAGCGTGCTTTGCACGCGGCCATTTCACTAGTATTTATTTAAGCGTAGGAAATTACGTCACGTGCATAACCGTTACATTAAATAATTGAATTATTTATTTATTTTCGTCAAACAGAGCTACATGGTTTTCTTGCATAGGAAAATATTTATTTATTTAAGCGAAAGGACTTTTAACTTTTCCGAAGTAAGTGAGGGTTAAAAAATTGCTGACGAACTCGACAGCACTAGCCGCGACTCTATCTTTGTCGTTTAGACCAGTTTCCGATATCGGCGATAACTTTCCGACCTTCGTTTACTATCACCCGTCGATTTATTCAGATGTAAGGCTACTTGTTTTGATTTCTTATTATAAATGAGTCGAACTTGAATCCACCCTTCTCTAGTTTGAACTTGTTGTCTTCTTTTGATTGAAAGTGGTATAGATTTGCCTCCATCTTCACTTGAACACCAAGTGTTTGATAAAATGCTTCAGCCAAAAGAACATTTTGATTTTTTTTTTTTTTTTGGCTAAGAGCATTTTTATTACCATAGTCTACTGGGAACCTTCAGGACCTGAATAATATTCACTAATTGTTGAGGGGTCTTAGTGTAACTAACACTAATATTTTACTTGAGTTATTTATGTCTAGTCTCCGGAGCCTTCATTGACTGTTGGTGGATTTTCTAAGTAATTGTATCTAGATGTTCCCGGGAATTTTAATTGTACAGCCCCCAAATAATCAATTTCTTTTTGTTTCTTAACAAAATTTCAAGAGATTGGTTTAAATACATATTTCCATTTGTACACTAATTTTCTTCTTATTTATCTTTCTAGTCTTTTATTCCAAGAGGATGATCTTCATTGCCATTATGTTCTTTTCTTGGAGGGGTATGGAGATTGTTTTTGTTTTTGGTACTTTTGTTTTTGAAATTTTATCACTACATGCTTAATTTTATGTTTACAAGCATGTGGACGTTGAATGCATTTAGAATTGCTTGCTTGGAGGACCCGTTCTATCCTATTTGGTGTTCATGATGTTCGTCCTGTGTTGTTATATCAACTTGTGTTAACATGGTATGACAAAGAATTTTCATGGCTTGGCCAAGGATTTTCTTTGTGCTTTTCTTTTCGGTTATAGACATTAAATTTTTTGGAAATGTACAATGTTGGCATGACTATCAAAGAATTGTTGTTTAGGTTTGCTAAGTATTTTGACATGATGTTAATGGCAGAATTATAGCCAAAGATGAGAAACAGACCTCCACCAGATCCTGTTGCCGTTCTAAGAGGTCATCGTGCTTCTGTCATGGATGTGTGTTTCCATCCATCTGCAAATATATTATTTACAGGGTAGAGACTAAGTTTTTAATTCCTTGTAACTTTTAAGTTTTTTATGTGGAATAACTATGGCAAAACTAAAGGGGTTATGTTGCAGTGCCGCTGATGGTGAGTTGCGCATTTGGGATACTCTCCAGCATCGGACTATATCATCATCATGGTAGTCATATCAAAATTTTGGCTGTTAAATTATCATCTTTGACTATGATTGATCCTTTTGCAAGGTCAGGCCTTTGTGTATTATTGGGTGATACATGGCAATAATTTGGTTACAGGGTGCATAGTGCAGCACATGGGATTATTTGTGTTGCGACTAGTCCTTTGATTGGAAGTAATAAAGTTGTCAGGTACCATTTGCCTTCTTGCTTCTTGAGTTTGGACCTGCTAGCGTGGAGTTGTAAAAGTCATGCTCTACCAATAACTTGAAACAAACTTATTTTCTTAACTAATTGTTTATTATCTTCAACACATGCAGTCAAGGTAGGGATGGAACTGTGAAATATTGGGATTTTGCGGATGGAAGTTTGTCCAGGTAGTCAGTCGGGTATCAAGGTTTAGTGTTGAGAATCAGTTATGGCATTCTTCTATACTTTTGCAAATTAGTTTTGGATGGTTCTGTCAATGAATGTTGCTTAGGGTAAATTTTATTATGTAAACAGCATAGCATGTTTTGGAAAAGGTGACTATTCCAAGCATTAGGGGAGTGGTACATCCAGTGGTAACATGTGAAATCACTTGTGCAAAATCCAGTCACCACTCATGTACATATTTTGCTTTCTCAAAGATCCAGGTCAAAAGGATGATTATGACTTATTAGTTGTTCCATCTGCTATTCTGATATCCTTATTTGTGAGGAAACTACCAAAATCTTGATGACAAAATGGAGAAGGCATTCATATAAAATGATCTTATTAGCTGTTGCCTGTTCGCATTTGGCAATTTATTGACCACATTGTATTGCCATCTATTTTGTAAAATATTTTTTATGCAAAATTTTAAGTCCTAAAGCCTTCTTAATAATGATTCACAAGCATAAAAAAACAAAAAAACTGGCAAGACTGGCATGAAAGGCAATTTTGTGTTCAGTTGCTATGAAATCCAGTAGATAATTAGACTGGAATAAGTTATGGTCCAAGATGAAATCTATAAATGGTTTTCATAACTACCTACATTCTGATGATGCCGTATTCTCAAAATGTGACTGTATTCTCTTCATAAGATTGATTCCAAGTATTAGCTAAATTTTCAATGATGATGCTGCCTCATCAATTTTTACAGGTCTATTAAAATCTGACTTTTATGATCAACAGGATCCCTTCGCTTACAATCCAAACAAACTCTTACCACTTCTGCAAGCTGTCATTAGTGAAGAAGCCTTCTTGTTTGAGGCAAGTGGAAGGGCTTAAACACTGCCATGATTTGGAGGTTATGGAAACTGTTGATGCAGATACTCTGGATGATAGCAAAAGAATGGCTCAAGGGAGTTTAGAGAAAAGTTCAAGGACACTCGAAGGTTTATTTGAATAGGTGTTTCAAACAGTGAATGTTTTTATCTACCTCTAATGCATATTCTCCACATTGATGCTTGGATACAACTTTTAACTCGTGAGATTCTAACTTTCACCGTATAACGTGTTGTGTTGAGTTGATATCGGGTTTTATGGGATTTGATTTGTTAAAGGCATCAAATTCTACCAATAAAAGATTAATGTATTTGAATTTATTAAAAAAAAAAAAAAGATTAATGTATTTGAGCAATTAATTTGTTTGCTTTTCTCTCTTTCATGTTTTGTTGAAACATATCCAGTGGAGCTTCTGGTCCTCTGTGCGTCATCTTGCCCTTTCATTTGGAACTTTACATGGTCAGGCGATATTAAGTAACAAAAACATATGTCTTCAAGCATGCCCTAACACTAATCTTACTTAGAGGTGTGGCCCTTTGAGGTCCAATAGCTTTAGATTCATGTCCCAGTAGCCTTGCATTACCTAAAAATTCCACCCACTCCCATCGCATGTGCACGCATGTGTCTTGGTTTTGTTACATACACAAAAGTGTTGAAATTAATGTATAAAGAGAAATAGAGAATTAGAATTGATGTATTATTTATTGATGTATTGATATAATGTTATATTTATTACAATGATTCATGATTCCTATATATAGAAGAGGGTGAGTGTGTAGTAGGTAAGGAGTAGGTGAAGTGGAGGTGGTAGTGGTGTAGTGGGTTAGGTTTAGTGGAGTAGGTGAGGTGGTAGTGGTGTAGTGGGTTAGGTTTAGTAGAGTAGGTTTAAGTGGGTGAAGTAGGTGATAGGTTTTAACAGCCCTGCAAACTCAAGGGGGATAGGAATTAGCCAACTTTAGTTTGGAGAGAGTAACAAAACAAGAAAAGACATAAAAATAAAAGAGGATAGGAGACACTGTATGGTCGTGTCAGACCATTGGTGAAGACACTGGATGGTGGTATCATAACGTTGTAGAGGACACTGTATGGGGGTATCATAACGGTGTAGATGTACACTGGATGGCGGTGTCAGACCGAGTAGAAGACAGTTTATGGGGTCATGTCGGACCGTTGTAGCAGACATGTTGTGACAGTTGTTGTGACAGTTTACAGAGTCTTGCTGGACCCTTGTAAGAACTAACCGGAATCAATGTCGGGACATTTACAGAGTCTTGTCGGACCCATAAAGGAACTAACCGGAAATTAATGTCGGGACAGTTTACAGAGTCTTGTCGGACCCATAAAGGAGCTAACCGGAAGTAATGTCGGGACAGTTTATAGAGTCTTGTCGGACCCCTAAAAAGCGCACCCTCAAAAGGTGTGTCCAATCTATCAAAAAGGCGTGCCATCAAAAAAGGCGTGCCCAATCCATAAAAAGGCGTGCCAGATATGATGGCGAAGCACGTGAGTGCCTTGGTGGCGCGCCCGTTTGTCGTCTGGCGTCAAGTGGGCGCGATACGCGTGGCTGCCTCGGCTATTTAACCAAGGTTGATGCTGAGGCTGAGGCAGACAAAAACTTCTGAAAATCCTCTGAAAAGCTCTTCCTTTGCTGAGAGAGAAACTCTGTAATACTCTGTAACCAACCCGTCTCTGAAAACCTCAGCAACATGGCCTCTTCTTCCCGTCCAGTACCCAGAACATGGCCTCCTCTTCCCGTGGTCTGCTCACGCTCTTTCCAGAATTGAACGAGTCCACAAGAGAAATAACTGGTGCGGTGGCCAGTGAACCCAACCAAACACCTCTGGTTTTGCTCCGTTGAACTTTCGATGCGGTCGGTGGAGCAAAAAATGGCGGTGCAAAACTGATATTGAGACCAATCAGTATACTCTGAAGTCATGTGTGGAACCATGACTGCGGTCACAAACCTGTCGCCCGGCTGCAGAGCAGGACAAATGAGGTGCAACAGTTAAACTCCCAGCTGGCTCTGCTCCAACGCATGTATAAGGATGCGCGAGCAGAGATAAGTGTGCTAAAGACAGAAAACAAGGAGCTGAAGCGGAAGGCCACCGTGATGTTCCGATTTGGAGGTCCACCATATCTGTAGTGGAGGAGCAGGGAGGAGGCAACTTGCTGTGTGGTCTAGGAAGCACGGAGGCAATACCGTCAAGGGCCGGCCAAGACGGAGGCAGAAGAAGAGACCGCTGTAGAATAAGAAGAAAAATCCCGCCTGTGGATGTGGTTGGTCGTTTGTATTTTTTTTTTTTTTGGTTGATGTGTAAAAGTGTGATCGGGGTTGATCCGTCATGAAAAAAAATGACAAGTTGTGGAATGAAAACCGAGATGGCTGTTTTTTTTTTTTTTTTTTTTTTTTTTTTTGGTGGAATATAAAAAATAATAACAAGATAATGAAAAAAATAGTGATGCTCACTAACGAGTTGTAGAATAAGAAAATATTGATGGAAAAAGAAAAAAAAAAAAATAAAATAAAAGTAGGAATAAGAAAAATATATTAATATAAAAAATATAGAGATATATGTATATTAAAATAAAAAAAAGTGTGAAATACGTGAATGTGTGATAGATGAGAAAAAGAGGGGGACAAAACTGATAAAGTGGAGAGAGAGAGAAGAGGGTCAAGTCCCTGTGCCTCTGATTTTATTTTATTCCCTTCCTCAGATAGAACCGACATGGGAAGAGATGAAGTGGTGGTAATCAAGTTCAGAGGCAGACTACAATATTGACTGTTATTATAAAATAAAATAAAGAAAAGTAAAGTGGGTTTTATATATATATATATATAAAATTTAAAATTCTGGATAAAGAGTGGGGGAACAAGGAGAATAATGAATATGATGAAAGTGGGTCTAGTGGAGAGAAAGGGACCAGAGAGACAGACAGAGAACTCGAGGTTGTGGGCTATGTATCGGAACCAAGTCGATAAGGAAACCAACGCAGGTGGGAGGAGTGGAGGCACTTTGCAGCAGCTACGAAGAAGTCTTGTCTTTAGGCTAAGCTCAGAATCACGAGTAGGATTCAACGGGTAACCCAGAATTCGCTCTAGATGTTCTGCTTCAAAATGCCCCAGACAGAGAAAGAAGAGAACCAACCCCCTCCAGGATACCCAACTGGAAATTCTCCAACCGGGAAGATGAGCCGGCCGTACACGAGGAAGAAAGGAGAGAAGGGCTTCATTGAGGGTTGCCTCTTTGCTCTGTGTTGCTGTTGGCTCTGTGAATCTTGCTTCTGAAACATGGGTTCTACAGGGGCTAGTTTGTGACGACCAACCCACACAAGGTTTAATGCCCTGCACTGATGGAGGAGATCTTTCTGCTGTTCTGCTGAAAGTATTCCTTCGGAATCTGTCAATATCTTTCCAAGCCTATCGGCCATCGACGAGCGTCGAGAAATGTCTGATGGCTTCGGAGTAGAGTCCAGCGTCGAGGGCGGCGATAGCGGCCGTCTTGCGGCGGAGGAGGAGCTTGATGGGGCCGAGCAACTGGATTATGCTATCGGACTCGGTCGGTAGAGGGGGGTGGGGTTGGTTGGGGAGAGTGATGATTTCGCCGGAGAAGCTGTCCTCCGACCAGCAGATGCTGTCGTGGCGGAATGCGGCAGTGGCGAATGTATGTGTAGAGGTCCAGCGGGCGGCCAAGGCGAGGCTGCCGCCCGCCGGTGAAACGGAATTACTAGGTTCTCAACCTTGCTCTGATACCATGTTGAAATTAATGTATAAAAAGAAATAGAGAATTAGAATTGATGTATTGATATAATGTTATATTTATTACAATGATTCATGATTCCTATATATAGAAGAGGGTGAGTGTGTAGTAGGCAAGGTTTTAAAAAGCGGCCGCAACCGTTACGTAACGCCGTTACGTAACGGTTTTGGCGGTTACCGCCATCCGTTACGGCCGCTTTTGCAGTGTGATTGAGATTCACAGGTATGTCGGCCGTAGCGGTCGTAACGGTGCCGTAACAGCCGTAACAGCTTGTTACGCACTGTTACGTAACGGTTCCAAATTGTTTCTTTCGAAAGAACACACAAAAAAAGTTGAAAATGAAGGAAGAGGGATAGAGAGAAAAGGAAGATAAAAAGAGAAAATAGAGGAGCAAGAGATAGAGAGAGAGAGAGAAGAGGGAAGATGAAGAACATATTATTGATTTGTTAAAACTATAAGACCTATGCTATTCTATTCAGCTGCTATTACTAAACCATTTTATTTGTGTATGTCTATTTATATATTGTTTGAAAATAATAATAATAATAAGTGTGGTCATTATCTATTTGGCTTGGTTAAAATATGTATATATATATATATATATTTAGGCTCTTATTTATTCTCTTACTTTTGTCATTATTTATCTTAAATATAATAGTTAGTGATTAATTTTTTGTAAAATATAAACTCATTAATTATTAATTATTAAAATAAAATGTAAAAAACTCAGTTTATAATGATTTAAAAATATGAAATACATTGGATCATACTTAAAAATTTACAAAAATTGATCAATATTTATTTTTAACCCAATAAATATGATCATGGAAAAAAAATATGCGTATCGGAAAGTTTTTTTCAAATTATGCAAAAAATAAAAAAATTCACGGTTCCAGTTACCGCAACCGTTACACTATGGTCTTTACACCCCGCAACCGCAACCGCGTCACCGCCACCGTTACGGCGACTGCAACCGCTTTTCAGAACCTTGGTAGTAGGTAAGGAGTAGGTGAAGTGGAGGTGGTAGTGGTGTAGTGGGTTAGGTTTAGTGGAGTAGGTGAGGTGGTAGTGGTGTAGTGGGTTAGGTTTAGTGGAGTAGGTTTAAGTGGGTGAAGTAGGTGATAGATTTTAACAAAAAGTTGAAATGTAGTGAGAAGTAGGTGTTGTTACATACACAAAAGTTGAAATGTAGTGAGTATGAAGTTGCAAGTGTAATAGTGTATAGCTAAACTAGGTTGTTCTAGTTGGATTTTGGATGAAAAGTCTGGCATGTACAATGCAGATAGTAACTCTTGCAGTAGATCTAACCACTTGCCCCTTACCCATCCTCCAAAAAACGAGAGAGAGAGAGAGAGAAGCTTAGGTTTTCAACTCATGTAAACTTTTATTTTTGACCAATAGTTGGTAATGATGCCATTATTGATTTACATTTATTTTTTAACTATAGTGTTTTAAGATAATAAAGAAGATGATTCACGTATGTCTTTATGAGCAGATGATGCACAAGTTGAAGGACCAAAATATGTGGCTATAGCAGGGGAGCAGCCTTCCGAGGTTGATAACCTTCACCAATACTATTGTTTCTTTTTGTAGATTCTATATCTCATATTGTTTACTTGCATTGCCATAAGGTTGAGATATGGGATCTCAATACTGCAGAAAAGGTTGTACGATTACCTCAAAATTGCTCCAATGGTTCCCTATATCAGTCATCAAAGGCAAGAGGTCTGTTACTGTTACTGATGTCTATGCTACTTTTTGACTAGTGATAGTTGTACCACTTCATATCTTGATAGCTTTCTGATATAATTTACTATTATTATTGTTGTTCTTGATAGCTTTCTGATATAATTTACCATTACATATCTTGACTAACTTCACTATGAGTCTGACTGGCCATCTGTATTTCCATCAGGATACTGCCCACATCTATAGACTATAGTTACACAAGAAGCTCAAGTACTAGGGTCTCTTAAATGCACTGACAATGTACTCATTGATTCTCATCTATGTGAGAAAATTCATGAAGTTTGAAATTGAGATTCTGAATCAACATAAAAACATATGTTTAAGTATATCGGTAAAAGCTTGGATCTTAGGCAGTCAATTATTTCCACACTTGTGACCTATTGCTATGGAAAATGATTGTTGGCCCCAATGTTGTGGAACTTGTTTGAGTCATGGTAATTAGCCTAAAGTGGGTTAAGGACGCCTAGTTATTATCTTTCCCGAACCCTGCTTTAAGCGAGAGCCTTGTGCACTCAGTATGACTTGTGTAATCTCCCTACCTATTGTGAGCATATTCATGCTTTTCCTTTATATATATTTAAGTTAAAATGTAACATATTTTTTTGCTTGTTTGATTCATATAATTGTTTTGTTGCAGGAATGTGCATGTCTGTTCAAGCTTTTTTACCATCTGAATCACAGGGGTTCCTGAGTGTCTTAACTGGGTTAGTTCTTATCATTCATTTAATGAGAAAAGTCAACATTATCCTGTTATATATTAAACTTTCAAATGTATGCATACATTGTTGAAACTGTTGTTTGCTTCTGTTACCCCTTTTGTGATAGCTACCCAATATAATTGGTATCTGCGCTACTGAATTTCATCTCCTTGAAATATCTATGCTGCACTACGTCCTGTGGTATCCTTGATATGTAAACAGTGCAGAACTAGGTGGTTGAATCACTTTCAGATCATTTAATCAGGCTTTATATATCATCTAGTATTTATCTTGTCTTGAAACTCAATGCCTTCATTGAAATATTGTAAATATCTCTGTTTTCTTTGATGACACAGTTACGAGGATGGAACAATGGTTTGGTGGGATTTGAGGAATCCAGAGGTTCCAATGACTTCTGTTAAGTTTCATTCAGAGCCAGGTGTGTGACCTTAGCATATGGAATCTATCACGCCCAATTGTTTTATCAAAATTTTCCTCAAATCTGTGCTGTGGTTAATTGTGTATTTGGCATGCAGTTCTAAGTCTTTGTGTTGATGGATCATGCAGCGGGGGTATGTCTGGAGCTGCAGATGAAAAAGTTGTGATATTCAGTTTGGTTCATTCAATGGTAACTTAACTTGTTACTTGATATCATGGTTGCATTAATTTGCTAGAGCATGTTCATGTCAAACCACAACACATTGGAGAGTTCACTCATAAGCTTCCTTCTAAAGAGAACCGTTTCTGCTGGTTGAAAAATACCAATTTGTTGGAGATTTAATGTTGTAACCATATTTACATCATCCAGTGATAGGCATTTACATGGTCTTACATCGAATTCTTTTTATTTAGGACACCTTTTGTTGTTCAGGAACTTTGTGCTAATTGCTCGTTAGAAATATTATCTATGTATGAATTTGGGACCAAAACATGATGTTGCCAGTGATGATTTACATATGTTGAAACCAAAAAGATTAAAGTCCCACTTTTTAAGTTCAATGTTAATTCTCAATTTCACAGTGCAATGATGCAAACAATTTTAAATACTTATTAAGCTATAAGTAACAGTCTGCACAAATCATGGTCCATGCAACAGGTGGTAATATCAATTGAATAGCATTCTTTGATATGTTTCTCATTTATATGATATCACAACATTGTAACCACTTTCAACTTTTCTTACATTGTTGCCTGGTTCAAAATGTCCACCAATTTATTTATTTGTATGTTTTGCTACTTATCCATAGGAAAAGTACTTATTGTCTTGTTTTTCCATGCCTAATATTTTGGATTTTATTTGTTCAAATTTTTGTTTTTTGTTTGACACAGGGTTCTTGTGTGGTCAAGAAAGAAATTAGTTTGGAGCGACCTGGCATATCAGGGATCTCAATTCGACCAGATGGGAAAATTGCTGCAACTGCTGGTTGGGATCACCGGTTGGCATTTCATTTTGAGTCTTTTCGTTTCTTTTCAGTCTGGTATGCTTATATAAATATATGTCCTTAAGATAGGTCATTATGGTTTCAATTCCTCTTAGCAGAAATATGAGATCATAATCATAATGAACTTCAGATAGACTGCAAATGGGTTTTGTGCTAAGGAATCTCTGGCAATGGGGGTTTAGTTATCCATTAGAGATGTTGTCATGGGATTGGGGCCCCTTGTCCACGAGTGCGCCTGTGCGTGCTCCTTGATCTCCCTGAAAAGTTTTCTGTGCTGAATAGATTCCCACGAGCTAACTGATGTTTGAGAGATATACCAATTTTTAAAAGCAGATTCACATATTTTTTCCTTTTTTATGAGATCTCAACTAAGCCTACTAGAAAATTTTGACTTTGTTGAGGTGATTATTGGAGGCCAAGAATACATGAACATAAAGTTCTAGATTTTTTTTCCCCCTCATCTTCCCTTCATAAACTTTCAGGTTTCATCAGATGTAAATAGCCACCACTGATTACTGGCATCTACAGTTGATTATATGCTTTGAAATTTATCCTTTTTATTTTCCCCATCTGTGGCAGAGTAAGGGTATACAATTATCGCAAAGGAAATGCTCTCGCAATATTGAAATATCACAATGCCACGGTATGTCATTATTGGTTTGCGGTAAAAGGGTCATTTTTATAGGATTTCCATATTTACTGGACCTTTTTGTTTGTTCTAATTCAACATTTGTTTGACACTGCTAGCTCTTGGAAACCATATCTTCCAGCTTCTTTTGTGTTAACATGAGATGCAAATTGCAACTTTTCATTATGGAACATTATGTAATAAAATTTGTTTAATTACTTTTCTTTTTTCTTTTTAATAAGCATATTTAATCTATTTTTGCAGTGCAATGCTGTTTCGTTCTCATCTGATTGTAAAATGATGGCGTCATCATCAGAAGATACTACTGTGGCGCTGTGGGAACTTTATCCTCCTTAACTTGAGTTGTTATTTAGTATTGACTCTTATCAATATGTGAAGTGTCCAGTAGTTCCTACATTACTTGGTTGATACATGGCCTTCGATCCTCACTAGTTTTAAGTGTTTTGTTGGTAATTCTGAATTATTCTTTTGTAGCATATTCATCAAGGAGAAATAGATCTTTCATTTCCTATTGAGTTGCTGTTTGTTAAGTGTTAAAACTTGACACTTACATTTGAAACTAGTCCTTAGGTTTTGACAGGGTGTGAACGGGTGTACTTTGCATATAAACCTGATCAAATTGAACATGCTTAGCTGTGGCTAGACAATTTAAAAAATAGTGGCATGATGTTGAATGCGTAGAGCTTTGAATATGGAAAATTGATAGGACTCTAATGTATTTGGAGTGGCCTAGCAATGAATGAGGATTAGACCAGACGAACCTTAATTAATATCATCTTTATTAATATTGGTTGCACAGAGTCGATGTGCCACCTTCATTGGACCAAAGGACAGCCCAATGATAAGTGGCTGCCTTTTCAATCCCCGCCGCTCTCTCCCCATTCCCTAGAAGTACCTATATTCTTCCTTTGACAAAAAATAAAATAAAAAGAAAAATTCCCATGTACCTAGAAAGTCTGGAAAGAAACTAGCTGCTCGGGAAGAAAGTTCAATTCCATGATTGAAGACGATCCAATATCCGTTTGACTTGGGTATAGTCTTTCCATCTTTAGGACACATACCCTATGATCGCCCTAGACACTCTTGTGAGCCCAAAATATTCACTATATATGTACACCCCATATTTCTGGTGCTCCATTTTTTAGCAAAAATATTTTCCACTTTTTTGGGTTGGTAAGCGATAGTTTTATATTAAAAAAAATATAATTATTACAATGATACTCAATATACCAATTCTAAGTTCACATAACTTTGAAGGAACGACACCCAAACCAAGTTATACATTGCAGCTAACCAAAGAAAATTTGTCACTCAGGCAACAGAAGCAAATATTCTTCCTCTTTCTCTCTCTATACAAGTCTATAAATTGTATTTATAGATAATGAGATCTGAACTTTAACTTTATAATAGTGTTTGAATTATTTTTTTCTTCTTCTATTCAAGTTACTTGTACCAACAAAGGAATTAAAAATTTTACCTTTAAGGATGGCCCTAATTTTTGAAGGCGAATTGAATATAGGAGGGGCAAGTGCAGAAAACTATGTGGCCCCCAGTGTTAGCAATGCACAAACAGTGCCTTAGACATGGATTTGGAGAGTGGCAGATGTGTTGGCTTCAAAGCCCTACCCCTGGCAATTCTCTTTTTAGGACCAATCTTTGTTCTTTAGTCCATTTTAAGCTTTAGCTGGTTGATGTGAAGCCTACCGCGTACGTACGTTACGAGAAATTATTCAATACTTCTAGAGTAAGTCTTCTAGAATAAGTCTAGATGTGTTAGATAGATATCAGTCTGTAAATAAAATAGAGTATTACACCAAGAACAACCAATAATTTCTCATACATCACTCTCTTCTCTTGGGAGGGACCATAAACCTGCAAGTGGTGTTTGGTTGTCAGTAATGGAATGGTCCTTTGGAGATCCAATTTGGGTAACCAAAATTTAAATATGACTAGACCATCAATTAATCCTTCCAACTTTGTTTTAGTTTTCAATGTGAGATTTAATTTTTTTTTAGTGTAAATCTCTAACTTATAATTTTCTTTTACACTATTGCGATCTCCTAAAATTTTGATCACCGAAAATCACTGACTTTTCATATTTGTTCACAGCTGTAAATGAATGATTTCAGTGATCAAGATTTTTTGGTGCGTGTATCTTTTTGGTGCATGTATTTGTTCACAGCTGTAAATGAATGTTTACATACCATTTTTGGTTTTTATTTGGTTGCTTTAGTAGTAGTAGTCAAGGCTACATTAATGTCTAACAACGTAGTTTTGGTTGTAATGCCATTTTTGGTTTTTGTTTGGTTGCTTTAGTAGCAGCCAAGGCTACATTAATGTTTAACAGCGTAGTTTTGGTTGTAATGGTTGTCATTGGCTTGTGGCTGCCCAGAATATGCCAATCTACTTTAATTTTCAATTTGAAAACGATGACTTTGTTTTGATTTATAGTATGATTTATGGCTCCTTCCCATGTTGACTGGAAAAATGTCTAGCCAGTTCGTTAGATTCTGTACATACTGTCACTTAAAGCAGCATGATTAAAAGAAAAATAAAAATAAAATAAATAAACTTAATCGAATTGAATGTTTTCTAAACAGGTTGGGTTTTTCTCGTGCATTTAGGGCTGTTGCGGGGCATGTATGAATCGGGAAACATCTCCGCCCCTCCTCACCCCACCCCCCATTTAGTTTTAAAACTTAATTATCAGCATTGAATCTCAATAAATATAGTTTTATGGTATAGAATGACAAATGATTTATTACAGTTAAACACACGTACTTAAAGGTTGAGTGTTGCGTAGTTTAGATCTCTAGTTTAATTGTAAAGTAAAGGGAGAGAAAGAGAAAGAGAAAGAAAAGAGGTGTGACAAGGTAGAATTGAAACGAAGAAAACTTGAAAAATCATCTTATATGATTCAACATTATAGAATATATATAATGTAGAATATTTTTATAATAGTACATATAATCAAGTTGAATTACCGTCCACCTCATTGGGTCTGCCAATTCTATCCCCAATTAGCCCCTCCCTCCCCCATTATCTAATTAACCCAACACATTAGGGTTGGGACCCATGGATAAGGGTTTTTTGTCATCCCTATGTATACTTATCTGTTCAACACACCACAGAGAAGTAACACCCTTTCTCTAAACATTCCATTTGTTCTTCACTTTTCGATGATGGTTTATGAAATGCACCATCTCATCACAAAGAAATTCCACATGCAATTTAACTCTTGATAGAGTATAGGTTAGAAATTTGATGCATTTTCAGCAAAATAAGCTTCACAACTTTAATAACACATTAACAGGACGAAGAAGTAAATAAAATATATAAAGTAACCCAAAACCATTAACCATTAAGCAATCAATCTTCAAGCCAGAACCTGAAAATGATATCTTTATATGTGTGTGAGTTTTTTTGTCAAAATGGCTGAACTGTGAGCTTCAAGACTTTTATAATCAAACAAGGAACGTTGGCCCCTAAATTGATAATTATATCATGGGGTCACAATTTCAAGTTCAGGGTTGTGGGGGTTGGAAGAGATCGCATGCTTTTTTTTTAAAAAAAAAAACAAAACAAGAATTGTCATGAGAATGTATGCAAGAAACATAAACAAGAGTAGTGCTATGTAAATTAATAATCCCTGTAATTTTATTTTATTTTATTTTTAATGTGGCATAATTGTGGTGGGTATTATTACAGATTCTAAAATTTCTTACTACCTGTCATATTAGTGAGTGAAATAAATTTACAAGAATTATCTAGTTTTTGTAGCATTTTCCAACATATAGTTGCATGCATATTTAAAAACATTAGAGTGCTTTGAGTGAAAATGAACACATGCATATGCAAAACACTTTATAAATAATAGTATTATTAAATTTCAGAATCACATTCTCATTCTCTTCCATTTAAATTGAGTCTTACGCTGTGTTTGGTTGAGGGATTTGGAGAGGAATTTAGAAAGTGAAATGGAAAAGGTATGTGTAATTAGGTGAAATATAAATATATTTTATTCACATTTCATCGACCTTTTTTTATTTTGCTTTCCAAATCCCTCATCAAATCCCCAAACCAAACACAACATTAAAGTTTGTTTTTATTTATTGAATTTTTGTGATTGTACTCTTCTTTTTCTTTCCAGCCATCTACTCATAAATGTGAAAGAAGCATATAGAATAAACTCAAAGATGAGAGATGCTTTGGATACAGATGTTGGCAATTCTAACAGGAGTTTCTCTTTACAGTTTGCGAGAGCATTGCAATTTGCAGGCACCGAAAGCAAGAAAGAAAGAAAGAAAGAAAAAGAATATATCAGCCTTTTCTTTGTAAATCCACCAAACTGGAATATTGCCACCCAAACCAAAATCCCCAATTTCTTGACAAACAAGTTTTGACTACAAATAAGAATAATATTTTTTAATAATATATATATATATATATATATATTTTAATTAATCAAATGTGAGAATGGTTATTTTAATGGAATGAAATCAAATGTGAGAATAATAATTTTTTATAATACATTTTTTTTTGATTAATCAAATGTGAAAATGAATATTTTAATGGAATGATAATTTCA